GGGCGTGAATGAATTTTATCCACTTTCGTAATCATTGAATTGGATCGAGAACGCATTTTACCAGCCTTTTCAATCTAATTCAACCCGTTCAAAAGCGAGTTGAACTTGTGTTGAAATTTTTTAGGTCGGGAATAAATTTTACCCCTTTTTGTAATTCTACCTGGTATCGGTGTTGCCGGATTTTAGGCCTAAATGAATTTTATCCTCTTTTGTAATTAACGGATTGGATCGTGTGTGAATTTTGTCAAACACTCGCCCCACTTTATCAAACTGGTCAAAGAGAATTGAATCTAGTGTTTACGGTTTTGGGTCAGTTCTTATTAAAAGAACAAGTAAGAACTGTACTGTTACTTAGAGTCACATCAAACAGGTGATTATTTCGTTATTTCCCACAAATTTAAGGACCAAAAATGCAATTACGTTTGACTTTTTAATCAATAATACTTGCTAGAAACCAGGGTCATGTATTTGATGTCTCGATGAGAAGCACCACTGTTAGAATGGCTTCAACATTTGTACTAGTTGCCCTCTAAAAGGGATTTTTTTGTGTTTTGCATCGGTATGTTTTTTTGTCGCCTATAATAACCATATTTTTCATTTTCTCTAATGATGGTTATTGATTTCTCTCTTCTGTTGTTTTCAATTGATTACTACGATTCAGATCCATGGGTGGGTCATCCGAACCCATGGATCCTTGAGTCATCCTGTAATGTCAAAAATTGTACAACATTTTCACTTTCTATGTGAGTTGCCTCTATTCTTTCTCCTTTCCTCTAATCCACAAACCCAACTCGGATCAAGCCATTTCAGAGAGGGTCAATTGAGCTCCCTTTTCTATAATGGCAAGCGCTGCTAGTGTAAGACGACATCACCAGCTGATGAGAGGGCACCAGCGGGTCATGGAAGAAAGATGAAGGTTTTTTTAAGCACTTTGCATCGATATGTTATTTTGATCCCTATAAACTAGATTTTCATTTTCCCTAATGAAGCTAATTGCGATTGACATTATTCATCTATGTACTCTGTATTGTTGTTTACACGGTAGTTTGTTTGCTTATATATATATTTTTACATTCCACCAGATTATTCTACAAATTGCATGCTTAATGTGAATTCAGATGTCGTAAATTAAAAGTCACTACGAACCATGAAGCAAACCTTGCCCTTGTTTGTCTGGCACCTAAAGAGTTTGAATCGTTGTTGCAACATCAGAAAAAAACAATGACTCAAAGATCGATGCGACAGACAATTTATGGCAAGAAATATACATTCCAAGCCCACACTATGATGAACCACACATTCGCATCTCCGCAATCTAGCACACACAAACTTTTAAACCACTGCTCTGCTGTTAGTCTAAATTAGCTACCCATTTACTCACTTTTGATCGTGAGGCCTTGCCATGTGTACCATATGGTGTTTAGCCTCTCAGCTTCTAATGATGCTACATTTATCTCTATCCATCAATCTTGCCTTTTGGGTTCCAATTGCCTTCTCTATGTGCATCTCTCACATTACTGTTTAAGTTGTGTTGTACTTTTAATTCAAGAACGAAAAATATGTTAGGAGTTTGTCGTTTGATCAACATTCATGTTGCAATAATTTCACGCCCCACCACGTAGCGCGGGCTTCCATTCTAGTATTGAGTAAATGTCCAAGACGATCACTTAACTTTAAGATGGTAAACGAAATGGTCATATAGCTTTAAAAATTCACAAAAGGGCCACATAAGTGCAATGTAATTATAACGAGTTAATGACCAATGGTTATTCTAGTTAACTATATAGAACACAATTGGACACGGAAAAATAATTAGATAGTTCGTCCAGTTAAGTTTTCTTCTTTCAAGTAGATTTGTATACATATTTCAAATAGGAGAGATCCAGTCCTACTGTACTCTCAGGAAGCCTTAGTCAACCTTGAAGAGCTATACTCTAGTGGGAGTTGTCACTGTCAGGCAGCCATGCATAAGGTCCAAACAGCCTCGCGATGTTGTCTAAGAATTACTATAAGGCAATGTCAAGATACAACCTTTGCCACATCAGCCTATACTGAAAAACCCGCATAGTTCGGAAGGTTGTTATTGTCATTTCATTAACTCCCTCTTTCTTGCCGTTTTTCCTTCTCGACAGCGAACATCTCTCACCTTCTCTTCCCAACCTGCACTGAAAATCGAGACTCCCATCGTCCTTTTTTATCATGCTGAATCCCAAATTGAAATCCATCCCGTCTCCCTCTTTGCTCATCACAGCTCGTCACAGTCTAATCTAATTTTTTTTTGCTACATTTCATCTGAAATCCAAATCGCCCATATTCGCCCTGACTTTACTTCTCCGATCGTCGCCGTATCTCTGTCTTGCTCCGCTCTCCCTCTCTCCCACTGTGGCTCTCTCTTTGCTCCATCCCGCTCTGCTGCTGTCTCATCGGTACTCATGGATTTCGATGGTGTGCCGGTCATCAACAATGTTGAATTGACTTTCCAAATAATAAAAATTTGAAAAACTAAAACTGGAACTAATCCCCGTCCTCTCCTGAACCCTTATTCTGTTTATCTCCAATCAAATTGCGGCTGCAAATTCGTATAAGGAAAAGGAAATTGATGAGGCAGATCCATGGATTCTCCTCGCAATTGGTGGTCTGGTGCTATTACTCTCATTCCAACTCCATGAATTTGCCATCTATTATCTGTTTTTGGTAGAAGAAAAAAAATAGACGGAGAACAATCTGGATCCGAAGAGCTGATAGAGTCATATAGATAGAGACCAAGAGAGTGAGACTTGGGAGCGGTTACGGTGATTACTACAAAATAGTAATCACCGTGGTTATTAAGGGTAAATTGGGTATGGAAAAATAAATTATATTAATCAATTAATTTTAATAAATTATATTTTAGGTAGTTACAAAAATCTATTAATTACAATTCTTTCTCTTTCTCTCACTTCCGTAATCTCCAGCCAGATCTCCTTTCCATATTTTTCTCAATCTTTCTGCAAAAGAAAAAACATGAAATCACTACCAATCTATTAGAAAACCACTACCATTTTGAAAAACATTAATACCATTGCAGAAATAAATCTATACCGTTACACGAAAACTACCAATATAAATAATCTATACCATTACAAAAGTCAAACAAATACCAAAACAACAAATACCACTACTACTGTGAAATCAAAACAATACAATTGCATAAATAAATCAATACAAACACTACCAAAACAAATACAGACAAACTACCAAAACATAATGTGCAAACGCTACCAAACCAAATGCAGATAACTACCAAAATATAATGCTCAATCTAACCAACACAAATGCATGTAACTACCAAAGCGTAATGCACATACTACCGAAGAAAATGCAGGTAACCACATAATGCAAACACTACCAAAGCATAATGCAAATAGTACCATAATAAAATGCAAGGTAGCTACCAAAGCAAATCCTCTACCAATGCAAACACTATCACTCTAGATTACCTGCAGAAGCAAAGCTGAACGCTCTCCGGCAAACTGTATTTGATCTCTCTGATCGGGTTCCCGTTTTTGGCCAAGACCTCGACCGGCGATCCATGTTGGGAACCCAGCGCCGCCGTCAACAACGTCGGAGGAAGATTCAAAAGTGGCGATGCAATGGAGGGAGGGAGATGGGGGGGGGGGGTTGCTAGGGATGGAGGGAGGGGAGATGGGAGGTTAGCGAGAGAGGAGGGCGGTGGAGGGGAGGCCGGCCGGTGATGGAGGGGGGTTCTCGGGAGGGAGGGGATTTTGGGGAGGGAGTGCGGACGGCGGGAGTGTGGTGGTAGGCAACGGGTTACAGTAGTGTTAGGGTTTGGATGTAATTTATAGAGTAATCAGGTGTGATATATTTTTTATTTCCAAAATTACCCTAATATAATCTTCATCATTAATTTAAAAATAGAATAAAAGAGAAATAATGAATGGTTTAGATTAAGGTACCCACCGTGATTACTAAAAATTAAGTAACCACGCTAACTCATCCCAATGAGACTTCTTTCTTTATAACAGAGAGGGAGAGAGATTGAGGAAGGATAGAAAGCAGAGGAAAAAAAGGTTTGTTCCTAATTGCTATAGTTGTGTGCCGAGAAAGAGAGAGAATAAGGGGGTGATTAGAGAGATGGGGAGGAAGGAAAAGAGAAAAGAAAGTGATAAAGGCTAAAGCAATGTGCATAAATCGTTTTGTGTTTGCGATCCAACCACGAAATAATAGTATATGAGATTAAATTGGTATGCGGTATTTAATGATATTGTTGATTGAAATACGATTAAATTAAGATTTTACTATAAAATACCCTATATTGCTGACTTTTTCGGTACAGTTTCATGTATCATAGAAATGAAAAAGAGATTGGTATCGAATGCTTTGGTTGTAGATGTCATTAATTTATTATTTTTTTTATTACTTTTTGAAGATAATATTCATAAACCTGTTAAACTATAACTTATGCTACTATTATATGAAATGGTTCTTTTATAAATTATATAGTCGGTGGCTATAAGTTAACCGATGAACAACATTGTTGAAAAAAGAAAACCCACTAATGCCCATTTACTGTACATGCATAAACCTTTTACTACACATACAGACTCATAGACACTGTTTCGACTGGGATGGGGCTTTAGTGTGGGCGAGTGCAGGTGAGCACTGGTTTGTTCTCGACGGAATTCTGGTGGTTCAGTTGTCTTCGGACTGGGTTTGCATTCTGGTGGAGGGTTTTGATCGCTTGCCAACCCTACCTTTACTCCTCACCCGCGTTGGTCACTCAGCAACTCTCCTACCCTTCGATTTCTGAGACCAAAACTTGCTTTTTGTCAATTGGGGGTTCTGGAGACTGTGCGCGTCAATCACGAAAAAGCAAGGGAATCAGAGATATTTTCTTACTTGATGACTGAGGTGACCGTTGCCTCTTTCATCTACCACATAATCTACCAACTTCACTTTTAACCACAAGATAATCTGACGCAAAGGCACGATATCTTATCCGACTATTAGGGAATTTGATCATCCCTTTTTCTTTACCTCAACTTCTCTCTCTCTCTCTCTCTCTTTTTTTGGGTAGAACTCTCTCAATTTTTTCATTGTGATCTTTTAACTCAATCATTCTCTCTCATTTGTTATCCGTTTTAACTCAATCCACCACTATCGACGACTGCGGTGTTGGTAATCAAACAAAAGCTGCTAATATTTCGCTCAAGAATTTTGGTGGGTTGGAAGATGGATCTGCCATCCATCGTTGAAGACTCTATGATGACTTGGGTTACCGTCTTACCGAAGTCTCGCGGCGGCCAGGTTGTTGATGGATTCAATACCTTTTCGTTTCATTATATTGTTCTTCTTTCGTTTTTTTTTTTTTTGAGTCGATTTTATCGTTTTCAATTTCTTTTGCTTTTAGTTATCTGGGACCGGGTACAGCTGCTACTGCGGAAACAAAGAGATGAGTCCTTAAGAGGTGAAGCTAAGTGGGTATGAAGCTACCACAATGAAGGTCCATTGTTGAAGAAGAAGACGGTCGGAGCTATAGAACCGATTCGGATTCAATAAATCCCTTAAATAACCCAGGATCCTTCAGTAAGTCATTTTGATTCTTTTTTTTTTTGTTTTTACTTTGTTGCTAGTATATCACTGATCCACTGTTTGCCCAATTTTCTCAGATATACTACTGCTTGGGCAACGACGGGAGAATCGGTTTAGAATAACACAGTTTCCAGGAGATCAACATGTGTGAGGGGAAAGAGTGGACCAAACACCCACAACCAAAAACCAAAGCAGAGGCATAAATGTTGCCAAGAAGAGTCATGCAATTGAGACGACGGGGTGAAAGCCGGGATTGGACGAACCACATCAACTACGAAGTTAAGGATATGCAACTCAATCAATATTTTCCCTTTGAATTCACTGTTAAGTTCTTTCCATAATTTTTCACTCATTTGTTTTGATGCTCTGTGGTCTCTGGCATTTAATCGGTTGTTTGTATGCATGTACTTAGAGTAGAATTCTATTTGTTGCTACCTGATTCTATTTGTGTAAGTCCATGATCCATTCGTCTATGTAGTCACACTTGATGCTTTGTGAAATTCTACAGCTCTAGCCTACTTTCAGAATCAGAATCATGGTGGTTGAGCTTTGATGTAAATTTAGCTCCCTTCTTCTCGGGTCACTGAATGAGAAATTTCCTTTGTATACTGAGTTTTCGTCAACATCATTATTGTTGATATGACTTGAATCGGATTATCAGCCGCTACGACTGGTAATCGGGGGTCTCGCTGCCCGGTCAGCGAGTGGGGTCCAGGGGCAACGCTCCGGTGGGGGTGTATTTACACCTAAAATATTTTTGGCCTATATTCAATGCCGTAATAATGAGTCTCGGCATTTAATTCGATACCGCATGGCCAAAACGATGTCGTTTGGAGTCGAGCAATACCGCGGAGAATTTAAGCGAGACCGCGAAGAGGCTCGGCGGTACCGTGGTACTTGAAACGACATTGGTTGCTGGCCATGTGTGAGTCATGCGCAGGACATGTGTTGCTGTTGGACAAGGAATGTTTTTAATTCTCTTTTTCCTTGTCGGAGGAGGAGAGTAATAGCACCGTTTGGAGTCAAGCAATGCTGAGAAGAGATAAAACGGTGCCGCGAACGTCAAAGCTCAACGACACCGGGACAAGCGGCATCGCGAGACTGGGAAACGGTGTCGTTTGGCTAAAAACGGCACCGCGACAAGCGGCATCGCGGATGAGTTAAAACGATACCGCGAAACAAAAAACGGTACCGCAAGGAAGCTCAGCGGTACCGCGGCACTGGAAACAACACTATTTACCAGAAAATAAGAAGGGGCCGCGCGTTTTAGTGTTGGTGTCGGGAAGGAGTTTTTTCTGTTTATAATTAATTATTATTTTTATTCCTTGTTGGAAGGGGAAAATCGGTTCCGCATGGAGATAAACGGTATCGCGGAGAGTCAAAACGGTACCGCGGATTTAAAAACGATGCCGCGAGAACCTGGTAAGCGGTACCGATTAATTAAACCAAAATTCGCCTAGTCCAATGCAAGCGCCGATTGGCGGCGGTTCCATGGAATATTTTCGGCTATATCAGCGGTGTCGTTTAAATTAAAAACGGTACCGCGAGTAAGCCCAACGGTACTGTTGTATAGCAAACGACAGTGTTTAAATATTTAAACAATGTCGCGGAAAGAAAAACAAACAGAGCTGTTTGGAGAGGAAACGACACCACGGAGCTTGAAAACGATATCGCGCGAGGAATCAGCAATACCGCGGTGGTGGATAAAGCTGCGAGCTAAACAACATTGCGGTGGAGAGAGATGTCGTGGTCGCGAATCTAGCGGCGTTGCTAGTGCGGCAATGTCACGAAGTTCAATAATGCCGCAAGGCCAAAGCAACATCGTGGAGTTCAACGAAGGCCATCGACTTTGTGTGCTCAACGACGCCGAGAGATTAACAATCTAGTGGCGAGTACGCGGTGACGAGGGTGAAACAATAATGTTGTTTTAATCGATGGCGGTATCGGGATTCGAACCATGGTACAAAGTTGATGTGTGTGCACGTGACTTTTACGCAAAGCAGAAAGAGGAGATCAAGGCAGTTGAGACACGTGGGATTTCAGGACGGAGCAGTTGAGGAAGCAGTTCTACAGAGCGTGAAGACTACGAAGTTGGTTTTAGATAAAATCAACCCTGCAAGGAGAGAGGGAGGACAACCAAAAATCAACAAAGATCAACTCTGTTCAAACTTTACCTTTTCTCTGTAACTCCTTCGCGGAGCTCTCCTTCCAGGAAGGATCTCCATAGTTGTAGTCTTAGTCGTAGTCGCGGAGCTCTCCACAGGAATCTCCATAGGAGTAGCGGTAGCGTAGATTCCTCAAAACTCAAACACTCTCGTTCGAACGTAGTTTGGAGAGGTGCGAACCGTAGTAACGGTCGTTCGTGGTTAGAAGTCAGAGGTGCATCGATCAAATCAACACCGCTCGACGATGGATATTTGACGGTCACGTTGATTTCACCATTTAGAGGTGCATCGATCAAATCAACGGCGCCGACATTCAGCGGCCGATATTTGACGGTCGTCTCGATTTCAGCAATCAGCGGTGCATTCGACCAAACGACACCGCAGGAGTTTCCACCGCGAAACATCAAATCAACATCGCCGGAAACGAATTCGGTACCGGCGGTAGCATTTGGTTTTCCCGAGGAAACATTTTGGCACACCCGGTGGGACACGTGTGTTTGAAGTGAAATATGGCTCTGCAACATGGAAAACACAACGTTGATCTTTCACAAGAATCTGTGAAGGTGGAGCATGTGGTCGGCATTGAAGTTGACCGAGCAGAGGAGGCAGATAGACATGTCGGTTGGATGAAGGAGTGGCCCCAATCCATGTCGAGCATCGATGAACATGTTGCACTTCTGTCTCTTCGTCGATCTGTAGATGAGTACTACCGGCAGATAAATCTCTATTTTATCTCTTTAAATAAGCCTTGTGATTCTCTTGGAAGACATATGGATAAATTTTTTGAGATGATAGATGAACATGTTTCCGGTATTGCCAATAAGGATTCACTTAAACTTGTGGCTAAAACAGTGTCGTTAGGGGCTAGCAAATCTTATGTTGGTTCTCCTGTGAACACTATAGTTTTGAAGGATAGGAAAGTTAGAGCTGTCTTGCAAAAGCCACAAAAAAGAACAAAATTTAAACGTGTTTATAATAAGTTTCTGAAAATTAGGAAGAACAAGAGTGATATCTTGAAAGATGACAAATTTTACAACATCGTTCAATCTAAGCCGCTAGGGGGGCATGAGATCCCACCGCATGGCCGGTTGAAAGAAAAACAACACCGTAAGTGGCAAATAAGTTTGCCACATCCACCCCATTCTAGGAAAAATCAAACTAGGATCACCACAAACACTACTCAAGATGGAGGTGGTGACCACGTGAAAAAATCTAATGCCACCAAAGTGGGCATGAATGAACAGAACCCTCATTGTAATTTGTCCGCAAAGCCTCCACTGAGTGGACAAGGGGGCAAGTTCAAGCAAGCCCGACATGGAGTTGCCACACCAGTGCTTATGAGGAACAAGTCTGCCATGAGTGACGGATTGGGGGGTAAGTACCATGGCCAACAAACTCCGGTCTCACGTAAGAGTTCAAAAGATGCAAAGTTGTTGTGTGATAAGTGCAAGGATCATGGTCATGGTAAACAAAATACCAACACACGTGTTGATGGAGCTCGTAAGTCTCGATGCTCAAATTCCCAACAACATTGTGAGAGTGTACAGCTCACAAAACAAGACCAGTCTAGGCAAGCGATGCCGCATGGTCGATTTGACAGGACAAAGACGTTAAAAAAAACTTCAATGTCCCGCCAAGAGTAAAAAACACTGGTGATTTTCTCTGCCACGACCCTGTGGCTAAGATGAAGCCAAATCGAGCTCGTGGAATTTCAAACAAAGGTGTTCGAGCTCGACGAACTGGAGAGCTACAAACCACCATTGATTCCAAAACATCAAAACCAACGCGTGTGAACCCAGCTGTGATGAAGCAGAGACTTTACGGATGGCTTGTTTGGTTTGATCCATGGAGTTGGCAGTGGGTGTGGACTTTTGGCATAATGATTTATGCCAAAGTCTAGCTGTTATTTATTTATTTAGATATTATTAAGTAAATAGAGTGTGGCTAATTTAGGCCACGAGAAAATTACTATATATATAAAAGTAGCATGGCGAAGCTTGCCGCATCGTTGCGAGCAATATTAAATTTTCAGATTGGGTCGCTTTGGTTAAAAATGCGGCCTGGTTTAAAAAAATGATTAATTAACGGCTTTGAGGGAAGGAGGCCGCCAGGCCTGATTGATAAAAAAAGAGGGGCGACCAAACAGCCCTGAATAAAAAAAAGGAAAAAAAGGGCAGAGCGGTACGGCCAAACAGCCATGATAATATAAAAAAAGGGGGTCTCAGCGCTGGAGGAAATTTGACATCCCTGATATAAATAAATAAAAATGGCGGTTAAGGGAAGGAGGCCGCCAGGCCTGCTGCAAAAAAAAAAAAAAAAAGAAGAAGAAGAAGAAGAAGGCGGTTGAGGGAAGGAGGCTGCCAGGCCTGATGCCATTAAAATATCTATTTAAAAAAAAAAAAAAAAATTTGGCGGAGCAAGCCTTGCAGCGCTACGCCACTATAACAGGCTGCAACCTTGTGGATTCGCAGTGCTGCAAAGAGGATTTTTTTTTTTACAAGGCCATTATCATGGTTTTCCTAATCCTCTTTGACCAACGTGATTTGTGGATTTTCTTGGCAAAGTTGAATTAATTGTTATGAAATTTTAGGAGATTTAAGTTGTGTCAACAACTTGGTTCATAAATTCTTATAAACCAAGTTGTGGGGGGGCATTGTTTACACCTAAAATATTTTTGGCCTAAATTCAGTGCCGTAATAATGAGTCTCGGCATTTAATTCGATACCGCATGGCCAAAACGATGTCGTTTGGAGTCGAGCAATACCGCGGAGAATTTAAGCGAGACCGCGAAGAGGCTCGGCGGTACCGCGGTACTTGAAACGACATTGGTTGCATGCCATGTGTGAGTCATGCGCAGGACATGTGTTGCTGTTGGACAAGGAATGTTTTTAATTCTATTTTTCCTTGTCGGAGGAGGAGAGTAATAGCACCATTTGGAGTCAAGCAATGCTGCGAAGAGATAAAACGGTGCCGCGAACCTCAAAGCTCAACGGCACCGCGACAAGCGGCATCGCGAGACTGGGAAACGATGTCGTTTGGCTAAAAACGGCACCGCGACAAGCGGCATCGCGGATGAGTTAAAACGATACCGCGAAACAAAAAACGATAACGCAAGGAAGCTCAGTGGTACCGCGGCACTGGAAACAACACTGTTTACCAGAAAATAAGAAGGGGCCGCGCGTTTTAGTGTTGGTGTCGGGGAAGGAGTTTTTTCTGTTTATAATTAATTATTATTTTTATTCCTTGTTGGAAGGGGAAAATCGGTTCCGCATGGAGATAAACGGTATCACGGAGAGTCAAACGGTACCGCGGATTTAAAAACGATGCCGCGAGAGCCTGGTAAGCGGTACCGATTAATTAAACCAAAATTCGCCTAGTCCAATGCAAGCGCCAATTGGCGGCGGTTCCATGGAATATTTTCGGCTATATCAGCGGTGTCGTTTAAATTAAAAACTGTACCGCGAGTAAGCCCAACGCTACTGCTGTATTAGCAAACGACAGTGTTTAAATATTTAAACAATGTCGCGGAAAGAAAAACAAACGGAGCTGTTTGGAGAGGAAACGACACTACGGAGCTTGAAAACGATATCGCGCGAGGAATCAGCAATACCGCGGTGGTAGATAAAGTTGCGAGCTAAACAACATTGCAGTGGAGAGAGATGTCGCGGTCGCGAATCTAGCGGCGTTGCTAGTGCGGCAATGTCGCGAAGTTCAATGATGCCGCAAGGCCAAAGCAACATCGTGGAGTTCAACGAAGGCCATCGACTTTGTGTGGTCAACGACGCTGAGAGATTAACAATCTAGCGGCGAGTACGTGGTGACGAGGGTGAAACAACAATGTTGTTTTAATCGATGGCGGTATCGGGATTCGAACCATGGTACAAAGTTGATGTGTGTGCACATGACTTTTACGCAAAGCAGAAAGAGGAGATCAAGGCAGTTGAGACACGTGGGATTTCAGGAAGGAGCAGTTGAGGAAGCAGTTCTACAGAGCGTGAAGACTACGAAGTTGGTTTTAGATAAAATCAACCCTGCAAGGAGAGAGGGAGGACAACCAAAAATCAACATAGATCAACTCTGTTCAAACTTTACCTTTTCTCTGTAACTCCTTCACGGAGCTCTCCTTCCAGGAAGGATCTCCATAGTTGTAGTCTTAGTCGTAGTCGCGGAGCTCTCCACAGGAATCTCCATAGGAGTAGCGGTAGCGTAGATTCCTCAAAACTCAAACACTCTCGTTCGAACGTAGTTTGGAGAGGTGCGAACCGTAGTAACGGTCGTTCGTGGTTAGAAGTCAGAGGTGCATCGATCAAATCAACACCGCTCGGCGGTGGATATTTGACGGTCACGTTGATTTCACCATTTAGAGGTGCATCGATCAAATCAACGACGCCGACATTCAGCGGCGGATATTTGACGGTCGTCTCGATTTCAGCAATCAGCGGTGCATTCGACCAAACGGCACCGCAGGAGTTTCCACCGCGAAACATCAAATCAACATCGCCGGAAACGAATTCGGCACCAGCGGTGGCATTTGGTTTTCCCGAGGAAACAGGGTGCGAGGGCAACGCCCCCGGCCCACGGCGTATGGGCTCAATGTTATTTGGGTTCGGGTTCTGGGACTGGTCTGTAACCGTTTCCTTTGCCAGATTGGATTAGGTTTAGACCCACATGGAGAAGTACTATAAATACTTCTCATACTCCTCTGAAATCTGTAATCTCCTTGATATAGTGAAACTGGCTCTCTCTCGCCCGTGGACATAGCTAACACACATCGTGTTAGTGAACCACGTAAATCGTGTGTCTGTGTTTTCGATTCTCGCTTTCGTATTCTTGCTTTGTCGATTCCGGCTATTTCCCGATCCGTAGCAGCGCGTTTATAACAAGTGGTATCAGAGCCTGGTTCGGTCCGGGGTGGTGGACGTCAGTTTGGTGGACCCTCATTCGGTGACTCGGGGTTTGCGATCTGCATCTGGTTTGGTGGATCCAGGAGAGATCCAAGTTTGGGCTTGGCGGATCAAAGAGAGTTCCGCATTTGGGAAGCAGATCAAAGAGAGTTCTGCGTCTGGTAAAGTCCTTGTACCGAGAAGCCCATCGATACAAGGCATCTGGCGGATCAAGATAATTGCTGAGGAGAGGACACGAAGTTCGTGGTCCTTGGCTTGAGGGAAGGATTGTTATGGGACAATCCAAGTACCACATCGGAAATACAAGGGAAGGAACCCTTGTATATTAGAGTCCACCTAGCCCAATTAGTACGAGGCCTTTTGGGGAGGACACCCAAGAGTAAAACCGTGCGGGCTTGGCCTAAAGCGGACAATATCGTACTAATTGAGCAGGCCCCGACAATTATATTGCTAGCTATCTTTATTATCCACTCTTTTACTTCTCTTTAACTATCTAATTCTTATAACAGTCTTTGCAGCGACAGCAGATTGAATCTTAGGGGGACTCTATGGGACACTTATAGTTTCCTTATCTTCTCCACGGGCATAGTTGTGACTGCTACAAACGGTCTAATGAGTCTGATTTGAGTTTGCAGTCTCGCTTAGCTCAGGTTAAGGTGAAAAAGAGAATGATTGATTTTGCTCCTGAAATTACAGTTCGGTCCCCTCATGATCCTCAGACCTCAGTCAAAACTCTCATGGTGAAACAGATCAATCGCTCCTCTCAACAATGAGCTATGTAAATTCTGTCACTAATAAATAGGTACTCATGACATTCACCGTGTAGTAGTTTGGTTTTCCAGTTATGGTTACTGCTGATAAACTTCTTTGTTTCTAATGTAAAATTTTAAACAATTCTTGGTAGTTAGGTACGTTTTGCCTGCAAAGTGACTTC